CAGCTAACAACCGTCCATAACTCCAGTTCCAGGGGATCTGATGCCCTCTTCTGACCCCTGCAAGCACTGAGCACTGCATGACACTGGCGTACCTACCTACACACAGGCAATACACTCATACACATAAAAATATTTTTAAAAAAGAAGAAACCACTAGGTTGTAATTAACCTTGGTGGGTCTCACACACACAAAGGCATGAAAGTAGGAGGAGGACTTGTTGAAAAAAAATTAAAAATTGCTAGGTTATAAAGTAACCAATACATAGCTTATGAAAAGTACAGAGAGGTCAGGTACAAAATGTGGCAGCTGCTGTGTCTGTGCCCTCACCAAAGGTAAATTATTAAAGCTTAATTTTTACTCATACCAGTGTTAATAACTCAGTGTAGCTTTAATTTCTCCTGAAGTTGAACACCTTTTCTTATGTTTAAAGGCTATTTTAATGTGGGTTTTTCTTTTCCCAATTGTCTTCTCCTTTTCTATCAAGATTTTTGGTCTTTTCCTTAACCTCTTTTTAAAAAGTTTCAGGGGTGTCTGACCTTTTGACATGATGTAGTCATCTACAAATATGCTGGGCAGCCAGCTACCCTGGGATGCATGCAGCTCTTAGCCACAGGTTGGACACATAGGAAAGGCTTTCTACTATCTTTTAAATGAGATCTATGTTGAGAATATTTTCACCCAGTTTAGAAATTTCTTTTCAACTTTGTTGACAGTGACAGTCACACAAATCTACATGATCAAACTTCAATCTTTTCCTTTTATTATACCTGAAATGAGTCATATATAGAATGCCTTCATAGAAATGTAGGTTATAAAGGAATTTACCCATATTTTCTTCTAGTACTTGTGTAATTTTATTTCTTCACATTTTCCCAATCCATTTATTTTTGTATATGGTGAAAGACAGAACTACTAGGTAACTAAAGGGTTATCTTAGCAGCACTAGAGCAGTAAAACTGCTGTCTGATATTCTAATAATAGATATGTATCATGGATTTGTCAAAACCTACAGATGTATAATAACAGTAAATCTTAAATATGGATTTCTGATGAATGTGAAGTCACATAGGTTCAGTCGTAAGAGATGTACTGTTCCAGATAATGGAGGAGAATATGTATGTGTAGGTACAGGACATTTAAGAAATTTCTGTACCTTCTTGCCAATTTTGCTGCAAAGCTAAGCTGCTCCAAAATATTGTCAAATAAGGCCAATTTTGCCCCCACTAATTTTTAAGATGTCCTATTAATTAAACATTAAATTTTTATCCTAAATGTAAATTTCTAAATACACAGAGATAGAGCTTCTCCTGGCCTTTCTATTCTATTTCTCTGGTCTATCTATTCTTGCATCTGTACTGCATGTAGTGTTTGTAATAGATTTTTAGAACATGTTAAAAAACTGGATGGGTCCATGCTCCCTCATATTTTCCTTTTTCATATTAGGTCTCTTTTTCTAATTTTGTCATTTCTAGTTTTACTCCACTATTAATATAGAACCTTGCTGTAAATTTTCTACTTGATGAAATGTGATGCTTCCTTTGACATGTTGTGTCTTGTCTGGATGATTAGTTACAAAAAGACCCCACTTGCTATGCATCTTACACTCTCCACACTATAGTGTAGAGGGGGCATCCTATACCTAACTCATGTTGAGGACAGAGACAGGGAAATGACAAGCATAACCAATCCAGCACTACTTTCCAAAATAAATCCTCTTCTCTAGATTGCTAACTACCAAAAGAAAAATTTAATCCCAAATTTATAATCCCCAAACCTATATTTCTATGATTTTGTTGTTGTTGTTGTTTAATTCAGAGTCTCACTCTGTAGCCTTGGCTGACCTGAAACTTAGGATCTTCCTTTCCTGGAATGCTGGGATTACAGGAGTGAGCTACTATGCCTGGTTTATGACCACTCTTACAGACATAAATATTAATGGAGAAAACTGTTAGGTGTTTTTTGTTGTTCATTTGTTTTGTCTTGTCTTGAACAGACACTAAAACTGAGGCACCACAGAAAGACAGGGGAAATTAAGAGAACATGGAAAGGGAAAGAAGCCTATGCTGGATAGCTTTAGTGTCAACTTGACACACCTGGTTTGAGGGAGCCTCAATTGGGGGATTGCCTCTATTGGACTGGCCTGTGGCCATGTCTGAGGGGCATCTTCATGATGAGTGATGTGGGAGGGTCCAGTGGGTGGTGCCACCCTTGGGCAGGTGGGCCTGTGTTGTATAAGAAAGCAGGCTGAGCAGGGGCCAGGGGAGCAAGGCAGTAAGCAGCGTTCCTCCATGGCCTGTGTTCCAGCTCCTGCCTCCAGGTTCCTGCCCTGAGTTCCTACCTTGGGCTCCCTGATGAACTGCGACCTGGGAGATGTAAGCTGAATAAACCCTTTCCTCCCCAAGTTGGTATTGGTCAGAGTATTTTGTCACAGCAATGAAGAAACAAATTAAGACAAAGCCCATCATCCTGGAGTCTGTTTGAAGTCTTTCACCAGCTGAGAGTTAACTAACGAATTGTTAATAATTAACAAAATTTGCTGTGAAGGGTGCGTACATGGAGACATTCCTTTTATAAAAAAAGAAATTTCACTTAATATTAAAATAGCAATGAATCATGCCTAAGGCCTAAGTGTATGTGACTGAATGAAAATGTCCCAAGTAGGCTCCAAGACTTCAGACATTTGTCCCAAAATGGTGGTACTTTTTTGGAATGTTTTAGGAGGTGTGGGCTTGCTAAAGGAAGCACATCACTGGGGGCTGGCTTTGAGACATCTTAAGTGTTGCCAGATTTCCAGTTGCTCTCTGTGTCCTATATCTGCTTGAAGATGTGACTGCTTAACTTTCTGCTCCAGGCACCTCTGCCGCCATACCTGCCCCACCATTAAGGACCTTAACCCTCTGAACTGTAAGCCAAATAAACTCTTCCACCTATAGGCTTCCTTGGTCACAGTATTTTATTACAGAAGATGGTACCAGAAGTGGGGTGGTGTTATGAAGAACCCGATGATGTTTTTGGAGGAATGAGGAAGACTCTGGAAGGTTGGACTAGAAAATTGGTTGAATGCTGCAAGCAGAACTTAACAGGCTGTTCCAGTAAGAGCCTGGAAGAAAGTAGCCCTGAGAGCAAAGTAGTTCCAGAGGGAAACAAGGACTTAACAACTGGGATATTTTGGCAAAGCATCTGGCTGTAGTCTGCCCCAAGCCTAAGAATTTGAGGCTAAATTGAAAAGTAATGGACTAATTTCTTTGGTGGAGGAAATTTCAAGACAACCTAATGTAAAAATGGTGGTGTGGCTACTAATGGTGAATATTATGCAGATCTACAGTGAAATAGCAAATGAGACAGAAAGAAATGCAAAATGTACAGTTTGGATTGGAAAAGAGCACTGGGAAGATTAATGTTGGAGCCAAGGCATGTGCTGAAGGAGACATTCTCTTCTGATGAGATTAGAGCAATTAAGGAGAGGCCTACAGATTTGCACTTAAAACAATGGAAAGAGTACCCTCAGGACAAGACCACCCTCCAACTTGTGAAAGGAAAATGCCAAAGGGGTTTTCTGCCCCAAGAAAACCACAGCATAGAAAAGCTGCTAGTGGATGAAGCAGATCAGGGTCCATCGCACGCTGGCACAGGAACTTGGCAGTGTCATTCACACAGTGCTGTCTTTAGAGGTATGAAAAATGCAAGAATGAAGGGGTCATGGGCTCATCCTCATAGTTTCAGAAAGCTGCCAAGGCCAGTGTACAGCAGGACTGTCCCTGCATAAAGAGGCACTGACAGGCCATTGTGTGAAGCTATGAAGGTGAAGCCTGGTTGGTAGTGGAGACTCCAAGATATTAAAGCCATGAGACATCTGCCAAGGAGAGTAGCAAACAGGGAGTGGTACCAGCAATGTATGCTGCATAAAGCAAAGCTTGAGGGGCTGAGCTGCTAAGCCCTTTGGAAGTAAAAGCCCCAGAAGTTGGAAACAGAGCTACTGGATTTGATGTTTGCCCTGCTGGTTTTCAATCTTGTTTTGGTCTGGTATTTCCTTGCTATGGACCCATTCCTCCCTCTGAAATAGAAATATGTATTTGGTTTCATTGACTGTTGGATTATACAATTTGTCTTTTCATTTTACAAGGTCTTACAGTTAAAGGACTGCCTTGAATCTCTGAAGAGATTTTGGACTCTGGACTTTTGAATGTTATTGAGACAGGTCATGATGGGGACTTTTGAAGGTGGACTAAATGCATTTTGCATTTTAAATGGTCATGTTCCTACGGGGCCAGGGAATATTGGAATGTGGTGGTTTGAATGAGCATATGTCCCATAGGCTCCAAGTATTTGGACATTTTGTGCCCAGTTGGTGATGCTGTTTTGCAAAGTTTTAGGAGGTACAACCTTGTTGGAGGAAGCACATCACTGGGGGCAGAGAGTTCTTAAGCCTAGCCAGATTTCAAGTCTCTTTTTTCCTGCGTCTGCTTGAAGATGTGATGCTTGACTTCAGCCATCTCTGCTGCCATGCCTCCTCCCACCCCATTATGGACTCTAACCCTCTGAACTGTAAGCCAAATAAACTCTTCCTTCAATAAGTTGCCTGGTCATGCTGTTTTATCACAGCAACAGAAAAGTGACTAATACAGTGACCAAGTATGGCCTTTCTCTTTTCCCAGCTATAGGCCTGCAATTTCATAGGACTCTCACAAGCAAAAATATAAACTCTACTTGTAGTAAAATACATGACTTAATTCCTGTGCAAGCTTGGTGGCCCAAAATTCTACCTGATCAGCCTGTAATCCTATCTGATGCATTTCTCTATCAACACCTGAACTTAAGTTTATGTTAATAACTCTCCCTAATAAACTTCAACTCTGCTTCATACTGTCTCACTCACAAATTCTTTCTTGCAGTGCAGTCAGGAATCCTATCTTCACCGGAGGGCAGAACTCAAAGAACTCTGCAGGCTGCTACTGATCATAGAGGTCTGTATCTCCTCTGGCTCCCACCCTACTCTCACCAACGTAACTGTAGAAAAATTTCCCCTTGGAATATCTGCCAGAGTCCTTATTCTATTCTTCTGAAGCCTGGACTCGGTTGCAAAGTCCTGCAAGCTAATTATTTCAGTTAGTTTTCACTTTAAAAATCTAAAACATTCGTTAAACTAAAATTTAAAACATTCTTAACTAAAATTTAGGTTAGAACCAAAGACCTGTACAGGAGGAAATGTCCTGCAAGATTTCCACTGCTTTCTCTATTGTGAAAATTTGCTCTTCAAAATCGATAAACTCGGATTACACAGGCGCTGTACGGTCGTGGGGGGTGGGGGTAGGGCAGAAACCTGACCTACACTTTAGGAAACCGGCTGAAGAATGAAATGAAAGACACGTGAGTCCTGAGTAACTGCAGTGAAGAATGGCTCTTGCCACTCAGCTCTCCAGCGTCATCCTGTTCCACAGAAATGTGGGGTCGTTTTCTTTGGAGCTTTTAATGCACGAGGGGTCGACACGTCCCTAGCGCCCGTTCCCTGGGCGGTTAAGCTGCCCAGCGTGCAGCTGCTGCCGGCGCCTCGCCCCACACCCTGGCTCCCAAAAAAGCCGGCGTGTTCCCGGCATGTGTCTCCTGGCTTCCCCGCCTGGCCTCCTCACCTGTGGGTAGAGATGCTCCAAGAACTGCTCCCGCGAAACACCCTGAAGCCGGGGTACCAGAAGGCACTGCCCGGCCATGGCTGCTAGTGCCAGATTTCAAAGACCTGGGAACTTGGGCTCCAACACGTTCGTCAGCATGTGATCCTCCGGAAACAACACCCGGGAAGAAAAGGTCCGCGAGGCTGACGGACGCCAGAGGGGGACAGATTCAGAGCGCGGGCCGGGAAGCCGTGGGCTTCTGCCGGGCGGCGTACTGCAGAGCAGGGATGGGCGGACTCACCAGAGGTGGCAGCAACTGCCGCGCTCAGCAGCCGCGATTCCTTCCTGACCAGCCTAGGTGGTTTCTCTCCGGCTCCCTTCCGCCGCCGCGCCGACATGCTGAGGTCAAAGGTCACAAATATGGCGCTGGCCGTCCGTCTGCTCCCTCGGCCGCTGCCCGGCCGGGCCACCGGACTCCGGACTCCCGGGACCGCCGAGGTGAGGCTATGGTTGGCCGACTTCTGCTGCTTGTGCCGCCGCCGCCTGGGCTCGAGCACGGCCGGCTTCCCTCGCTGTTCTTGGGCCTCTGTGACCCCGGCGCTGGGTGCCTGGAGCCCCCGGCGGCCGCTGCTTCGCCCGGCAGAACCGCCCCAGGCCCTGGCTTCCTATCCTGCTTGTCCTCGCCGCAGCTACAGCTCGGAGGAGCAGCCCCAGCCGCGCCAGAAGACCAAAATGATCATTCTGGGATTCTCCAACCCAGTCAACTGGGTCCGGACTCGAATTTACGCCTTCCTTATCTGGGCCTATTTCGACAAGGAGTTCAGTATCGCTGAGTTCTCTGAGGGGGCGAAACAGGTTCGTTGGCTTCCCTAATTGGCCTGTACGCCTCTCGTTCAAGTGTTGCATGCACATGTGTTGAGCCAAGTTTCTTCATTGGGACCTAACTTACCAACGTTGGTAGGGACCCAGACACAGTCTTTCAGCCACTTCTTGAGCATCTAGGTGTGTTTGCATGGCCGTCCAGGAGGGGTGGGTTCAATTAAGAGAGTAGAATAAAGAAAGGCCTTTCAGTTGTTTCTCAAGTGCAGGTTTTGAGTCGAAATTCAAAGCCCTTTCCTGTCTCTTAAGAGATGTTTGGCCCTTTTCTGAATGATTTTCCAGATTTAGAGAATGGAGAAGACAGGGTGTGGCACATAGTAGGCGCTTCATAAATATTTGTTAGGCGCTACTCTTGCAGAAAACCCGGGATCGAGTCTCAGCGCCCACATGGCAGCTAACGACCTTCATAACTCCAGTTCCAGGGGATCCGACGCCGTCTTCTAAACTCCAAGGGCATTGTACTACACGGGTGCATTTACACACATGCAGGCAATACCCTCAGACACATAATAAGATTTTTTTTAAGTAAATATTTGTTAAATAAATTGAGTGGATGAGATGGTGAGGAAAAAGAATTCCAAAGTACAGCACCATATCAGGGAGAAAGGCAGAACTTCCTACCAGCTATTTGGCAGAGCTGCATCGTTCCCCTCCTTCCCTACCTACATTTCATAAAGGATAATGGCGATGGAGATGGAGGTGAGCAGTTTTACTCTTTCAAGGAGTTTACTGAGCCTTCTGGTTGCTGATCGGTGCTCAATACTCAGCACACTGGGAGTGCTTAGGCTTTGGGATTCATAGCACTGACTCTACCCATTATGACCTTCTCTCTGAAGAACTAATAATCTCTTGCCTTATTATGGTCACTTTGAATCCTGAAATTACTTGCAGATATTTGGGTATACATGTATTTTTCTAGGATCTGAACTTTTCCTTCAGTTTTCTTGTTTGTCAATACCTAGCATTGCAGATCTATTGATACAGAGAGAGAAGTCATAGTGTAGTCCCCAGTTCATACCCCTATAGGCCATCAACATCATAATTTTACAATATTGACAGTATGTAGGTATTTATATTTTACTCCTAACTAATTTCAGATTATTCCTCTTATTGCAGCCATTTATCCTTACATGACCTATTAGTTATAAGTTAGTATTTCCAATTTTATGTAGTCGGTGTCAGTATTAACTCCCATTCCCTGTCTCCTTGGGTCAATTCTTGACTAAAATGTGTTTACAGGGAAAAAAAAAAAACAGGCTTAATCAATATGCCTACCTCAGCAGCATGATGAAAGGGTGGACCTCTGCTCACTCCTTGTGTTCTCTGTGTCAGTTGTGCAAGTGAAGCTAAATTGGTGTGATCCTACTCTTGATGCACCACAATGCCCACATGTGAGTGTGTCCACCTCATGATACATACTTGATTGCACCAGTTCTGTTGTGTGTCGGGAATTGGTATCATCTTCCTTCCATCAACACGAATCAGGCCTCAAACCCCATTTCCTCTGAACACAGAGAAGTTTGGAGCACTTTTTGGGTCATTCTAACCCTAGCTGATAGCTGTTGTTGTCTTTCTTACCATTGAACTGTATTTCTACTTTATCATCCAATCTGTATGCACTTTTGCTTTATCTAAGTTGATTTATTTTTTCTGTTAATCATTCTGACTTCCGAAAAGAGTGTCTGGGACCAGCTATTGGAATATTTAGTAATTAAATACATGGTTGCCGAATATAGGATTCAAATCAAGCAAATTAGTTCATCAACACCTAAGACAACACATTTTTTTTTAAAGGACATAACCAAAACTGCTGTCCCAGCTCACTCATGATGCAACCACCTATTGTGTGGGTATAATTCTAGACCTTAGGAATAATCTGTTATAAAAATCTCCCTGAGTTCCATGTTCTTATTTGCTATAGGCTAATCTCCCAGAAGTACCAAGTTATCTTGAGTTGTGAATATTCGTTAGATCAATTGTGTTGGGATTTTTATTTACTTATTTTGTTTTTGACAGAGTTTTGCTATATAACCCTAATTGGCATGGAAGTCACTATGTGATCCTCTTGCCTCAAACTCCCAAGTAGTATGATTATAGGTGTGCATGACTTTTATCTTTAATTTTATAACATGAAATTGAAAAGGTACCTTGTCTAATCATCCTTTATACATGTTGAAGCAAAGTTCTAGGAAGATTAAATTCATTATACTAGTGAGCACTGTCCTGTGACCCACTCTAGAAGTCTTGGTCATCCAGACTCATTGGCAATTGAGATGGTTACATGTAATCCAGACAAGCATTTTAGCACATGAACTAAGGAAATGGTGTTCTGATGCTCAACAGGCCCTGCTTGTGTTTGTGTATGTGTGTATGATATGATACATAGCCAAATGGATTCAAGGTCTGCACACGTTAGAAGTATTATAGCCATGGAGCCATGCACTCTTTGTTCCCTGTAGCTTTCTTGTACATTTTATGCTTTTCTATGAAAGCAAGGCTATTTCTAGAAGTGTCTTGAGGTAGACATTCCTGTGTCACTGGGATCTTATCAGGGCAGGCTCATCGTGATTCATTGTTTTGAGGATAATTTGCCTGACCACACAAACTAGAGTCTAATGGTTGGGTTTCTACATAGTGGTTGTGGTTGTTTCTTTTGCCCAAATTATCACTCATATTCCATGTGAAAGCTTACCAAAATATGCAGGATCTCACCCTGAGCACCTCTAACATGTGTGCAGACCTTGAATCCATTTGGCTATTTGCATTTTCTCAAAATTCAGCTCCATTTTTTACTAGCTTGCCAGGCTTTTATCCAGAGTGCCACACACTGGGTAGCTTGAACAGTAGTATTTCAGTATCAAGGTATCAGAAGCATGGGTTTCTATTGCAGCGTCTCTCCTTGTCTCACTGTATTCTCACATGGCCTTCCCTCTGCTTTTGTGTCGTGGCATCTCTACACATGTATACATTTCCTGCTCTTGGATATGTCACATTGGATTAGGCCTACCCTAACAGCCTCCTTTAAACTTAATCACTTTTTTAAAGGTACTATCTCTAAATGTAGTCACATTCCAAGGTATTAGAGGTTAGGGCTTTGGTATGTGCGTGGCAGGGAGGACAGGTGAGCCTCTAACAATTTGTGGTGTCTCCCTGTGTGCATGGGCCTGTCCTTTTTCCTTCCAGGTCTTCAGATTTCAGCCTAGGTTTTACTTCCTTTGGGAAGTGCACTCTGGTCGAGATTAGATTAGATGCTCTTCTGTTTGTTCCCTGTATCACCCTGTTCTTATCTTCTAATAATTTTTGAACTTGTCAGCTAGGTTGTCTCCTTTTCCAAGGAGACTGAAAGCTCCTGAAAGACAGGTAGGATCTGAATGTCTTCCCTCTGCTGAAATGAGACCTCATGCTTCAAGTCCAGGTCCACTGTCTTGAATTGTAAACTATTTCTCTTTTCTCCCACTCTCCTAAACCTACCTTGTCTGCCTTAGAGAGATTGAGCCAATGGTCCCGATCTGCAGACTTCCAGTACAGTTTAGACTCTAGGGTGTCCTGCTTTTTAATTATTATCTGTGCTTGATTAAAACATGAGTCATCTAATAGTTGTTTACGTCATCATTGTTTTAAAATAAAATATATAGTAATATTTTTATTGAGATATCTAATGTATACACCCCACACTGTCATTTCCCAGAACCTGAGATTAGACACATAATTAGCTGTTAGTTCGCTGCTATATGTGGCCCTGTCATCTAAGAAAAGACAACCAGCTTAAAAGCAGTTATAAATAATATTATTATAAGTTTTTGACCTCACATTTACCATAAAGTAAAATCTTTGTTACATTTGGCCCTTTAAGTGTGAACATTGTATGGTACTGTTATGACATTTTTGAAACAATTAATAATTGTCACCCTTCCCTCACCGTTTTTTCAAGGCTTTTGCTCATGTGTCCAAGTTGCTATCACAGTGTAAATTTGATCTATTGGAAGAACTTGTAGCTAAAGAGGTAAAGTATGCTTTTAATTTTTCTTTTAAAAATAAATATCTGACTCAGACTAGAATAATACGTACCAAGTCTTACTTATGCTCTAAAATCGGGTGTGTGCCAGCAGAGAGAGTCTGTCCTTATGAATACTTTGAGTCTTAAAAAGTTGGAATGACTCCTGCCACTGAAGGGCATAGAGAGGTAAATAGGATGCATTCCAGTTGCTCTTACATACCATGTTCTGTTGGGAATTACCTAACTGAATAATGAGATGCCTTTAAGTATTGTTTTTGAGGAGTAGGTAAGGTAGTAAATTTAAAATGGGTCTTGAAAAATTCCATGATAAACATCACTTTTTAAGATACTCTCAGAAATTAATAAGTATGCTAATGATTTTCTTTTCCCCAATTTAGGTGCTACAGGTACTAAAAGAAAAGATTACTTCACTATCTGATAACCATAAAAATGCGCTTGCTGCTGACATAGATGAAATTGTCTACACATCAACAGGAGACATCTCCATTTACTATGATGAGAAAGGTAATACCCACATGGGCAGCTTTAACTGCCCACAATTGTCCAGATAAGCCAAAGCAGTAGTCACAGAATGGCAGAGCTGTGTCTGTACAAGCAGATATGTGTAACATTTCAAAGAAAATGGCATAGTCACTGTTTAAAGATCTATTCTGAAAAAGTTGGTGTATGATGATTGTTTCTAAAGCCTCGCTGTCTAGATTTTTTCCCTACTACTGTTCACTCTACAGCCGAGAAAATCCTCACTTATGTTAATGAAAATGGTTTCTTTAAGATAAACTGCTCCCCTGTCTCAAATCAAAATATTTGTTTCATATTTCCTAATGTAAAATAAACACTTGACCACTTTAAATACCTAGTTGTGTGTTAACATGGAAGGAGTAAAGTTTAAAAGAAAATCATTATAGATAATCCCAGATAGTGACTGATATGAAAAAGAGGTTCAGAACTACAAGATTAAATTTGGAATAATGGTACAAGATGGAAGCATGTCGTGGTCATCTGTTTCTTTTCCAGTGCATACATTTTTTACTAGAGCAACTGAATTCATTTGCTAATTCCTTTTGCACATATTTGTATATGTATTATGAGGCAGGCACACAGGAGGTATAGCCTCTGTTCATATACTTCCTATAGCAGTAATGATAGAGGACTCTTAATAGTTAAGTAAGTCTTCATTTGCAAGTTAATTTGAAATATTTGGAAAGGGGTTTGAGTTGATATTTTCTTTTCCCCTAACATTTTAAATTAGCATTTTAGCACTGTGGTCACTAACTGATTTTTACAAGTTTATTGTGAGAATTTTAAGGCATTGCAGAGTATTAGGTATGAAGACAAGAGGCCTTTCTTCTTTGGGGTAGTTGAAATAGGACCAAAAATGTAGATTTCTCCTCTCATTTTTATCTTGACAACAGATTAAGATTATTTTAATTTTGGAAAATTGTATAGCTTGAGAATAATCCATGTAGTACACCTAGAAAAGTGTGTGTTCATGAGCAGTAAATTGATTGCTGAGTTGCAAGGTAGAGGGCAGAAGCCCTATGAGAATTTTCTAAAAGTAAAATAGTATTAATCTAGGATTCTTAAATTATACCAGTAGGTATACAAAGTCTGATCCTCAACCTGTTTCTGATTTCAATTTAGATATGTGGATGGAAGATTATTATGATATGTATGTGTGTGTTTTCTCTCTAAGGAAGGAAGTTTGTTAACATCCTGATGTGCTTTTGGTATCTAACCAGTGCCAACATCCCCAGTGAAACTTTACGTGGAGCCAGTGTGTTCCAGGTTAAGTTGGGGGATCAGAATGTGGAAACTAAACAGCTTCTTAGTGCAAGCTATGAGTAAGTATGATCATGCATTCTCAGTGCCGTTATCGAGAATGTGGGAGGCAGTGTAAAAGGCAGGAAAACTAAAGAGAGCTTTAGGAAGAAAAAGATGGAAATTTGACAAGCTATTTATGAAGAAAAAATCATGATACATTGAATATGAAATAAGGATTATTAAAAATTAGAAAATGTAATACCTCTGTCTGACAGAGTGGCACACACCACTAATCCCAATACTTGGGAGGCAGAGACAGGTGGGTCTCTGTGAGTTCAAGGCCAGTCTGGTCCACATAGCCAGTTCCAGGCCAGCCAGGGCCACATAGTGAGACCTTGACTCAAGAAAGAAAATAAAAAAGAAGCAATCTTGAGTTTATCAAACCATGTTTCAGCTAGCTACAGCTGTCGAACAACTCAAAAAGTCAGTGGTTTCAAACAGCCATTTATTTTGCCTGTGATTTCACTACTGAGCACGAGTGCATTTCCGCTGTGGGTTTTCTCTGCTTCACCTGGCATCAGCTGGGTGGCAGGAGCAGAGGGATCCATTTCCACAGTGGCTTCATCTTGTGTGGGTGGCTGCTCCATGTCTCTTTCTCCAAGGCTTTTTTTTTGGGGGGGGGGGGGTTGACTTGCAGTTTCAGATTAATTAGTCACATCTTTTTTCTGGTGATTGCATACCAACAGGTAGAGATTGGAAACTGCTAGGCCGTTAAAGAGAATTAAAATATCATTTGCCATAGATGGCCTGTCAAAGTAGTCACAGAATTTGCACAATTTAAAGGATATCTAGAGACCCTTTTTGTGAAACAATAAATTGCAAGGTCACATTGCAGAAGAGCATGTCAGATGGCACATAACTTGCCTCCATCTTTGAAAATATAAGTCTGCCATAATTGACCTTATGAGTGGTCCATTCACAAGACTTGTCGTTTCTTATATGCTAAGCACTTCAGTTCAGATATGAAATTGAAGGAACACTACCTGCTCTTAAAGAGATCCTTTTGGTTATAAGTTGGCAAATTATTTAAAAGAGACATTCTGGGGGCTGGAGAGATGGCTCAGTGGTTAAGAGTGCTTACTGTTCTTGCAGAGGGCCCAGGTTCAATTCCCAGCAACCCCATGGTGCTAACAACTGTCCATAAATCCAGTTCTGGGATATCTGGCACCCTCTTCTGACCTCCGTGGGCATTGCACTACATGGGTGCACTTACATACATGCAGGCAATACACTCATACACATAAAATAAAGATTCTGTTGTAATTTTTAAACTAATCAAATTTGGTAGAGGGAGCAACTAGAACAAATCCATGGAGACACACTATTTTTGTTGTTTTTATTTTTGAGACATAGTATCACTATGTAGCCCTGGCTAGCCTTGAACTCACTGTATAGACCAGGCTGGCCTCAACTCACAGAGATCCACCTGCCTCTGCTTCCCAAGTGCTAGTATTACAGGTGTTGCACCATCTCACCCAGCTAGCATGCAAGCACACGTGTGTGTGCGCATATACAGTATTAAATAGTAATAATAAGTAACTGCGTTATTTTTCTAATAGTAAACAAATTGCTTTAAAGTAACAAACAAATCCCAAAAGTGTCCAAGAAAGAAGACATACTGTTTCACTAAAGTATGTAAGAATTGTACCTCATTTTTCCATGTCTTAAAAGAAGTCTTTAAAAAATACTTCAGTGTAATCACTCAGAATGTTCTCTAGATACTAGTTAAATTTAAATCTATTGTCTCTTTTTTAAAAATATTTTATTTATTGTTTTTTTATTTAATGTGTATGAGTGTATTGCCTGCATGTATGTGGATGCACCTGTGTCGTACAATACTGCAGAGGTCAGAAGAGGGCTTTGGATTCCCCTGGAAGTGGAGTTAAGGACGTTCGTAGCTGCCATGTGGGTGCTGGGACTCGAACCTGAGTCCTCTGCAAGAGCAGTCAGTGCTCTTAACTGCTGAGCCATCTCTCCAGCCCCTATCATCTCTTTTTAAACTGTATCTTTATAGTTAAAGATCTGTATCATCAGTACTAGACTTGGTCTCTTGATATTCCTTATTAAGATCTGGGCAGCTTAAAAACACTGGCAATTTACAGACTGATTTAATGTGTATGAACCAAACCAAATTCCACTATTTTTCACAAACTTGGTAACAGTGCGGTTTGTAAAGCAACTTTTCCTGTGTTTTATCTTAAAGTGTTGCTTGCATTACTAGAGTCCAGTTTTCTGTTTTAGTGAGTAATAAAAGAACAGTGTGCAAGTTTCTTTCAAGGGCTATCAGATGTTGAATATAGATCAGACCATTAAAAAATACTCACTGTAATTGAGTATATACTTCAGTTAGGATGGTTTTGTGATTAAGGTGAATGCATGAACATTTTGATTTATCATTAACAATTAAATTAGCTTATTGTTAAATACTGCTTCTAATTTATGCTTGCAAATTATGTAGTTACCAAGAATATTTGGGCTGATGGATGAATCATTATGTTTTTCCTAGATTTCAGAGGGAATTCACACAAGGAGTAAAGCCTGACTGGACTATTGCACGGATTGAACACTCAAAGTTATTAGAATAGTCTTTCTTGGAAAAAAAAAAATCAGCATATGAACGTTTTGTAATTGCTTTGAAAAACTAAGGAAGAAAAATTTCTGGATCATTTGATCTTCACTTAAGACTGTGGATTAATTTTGTATTATCTGGAAATGCTCCTTGCAGTATATGTCATGATACAATAAATCATTTTCCACAGATTGTTAGTGTTCTTTAAAGGAGGTCAAAGTAAAAAGTGAAACTACAGCACCACATTGGTGTCGTATTTGGTATGGCTTCTGATGTTATGTATGTATACAGACTAAATTTATAGACATAAGATACTGAAACTACTGTGTATCTTTAAATTACTAGTTATTTGTACCATTAATTCAGGAGTGTGTAAGATTTCTCTATCAAGTCACTATTGCCTGGTACTATTTTAGTCACTAACCGGATCGGAAGGGATGGATAAAGTTACAGCTGCTTGACCTCTGTAGAACGTCCATATTTGTTCACTGTTTACAACAGCAAGGAAATGTAACCAGCCTAGATGCCCATCAAAGGATGAATGAATAAAGAAAGTGGGACACATGCACACAATGGAATTTTATTCATCAGTGAAGAAGAATGAAATCAGGACATTTGCAAGTAAATGAATGGAACTGGAGATCATTGTATTGAGTGGGATAAGTTAGACAAATACTACACATTTTCCCTTATATGGGAGTCTAGGTTTAAAAGTGCCTGTGCTTGCATGTGTGCAGGCAGTGAAAGTAGAAAAGGGACTCAGAGGGGAGGAGGAGCCCTTGATGGGGTAGAGGAAAGTGAGGGTAATAGAACACGTGATGTGAAAGAAGGACAGACTGACTGGAGAGAAGAAGACCACAAGGCAGGCAGCAAGGACACCCAGGAGGGCAGTGAGAGAAAGTATGAATAAACCATGATATGTGTGCATGAAAATACCATCATGAAGCCCAGTGTGTGCTAGCTAAAAGAAGAACTAAACATTTATTAGGGAACTTGAGTCATACGAAAGCACAGGGGTGGTAGAAAGATGCCTCCCACCTGTGTGAAGCCTTAGCTCTTTTAACATATTTGTATTTGGATTCCTAGAACTTGGAGTAGGAAGAAAAAAACAATTTTTTTTAAATGGGTGACATATTTCCTAACTGATAAAAACCATAAACCCACAGAGCCAAGAAATTCAACAAGCAATATAATACATCTTAAAAATGTCACCAAGGTACATCATAATGAAAAAGTTGGTCAGCAGTGCAAAAGCAGCTAGAACTTGGGCATGGGTGGCATCCATAGAGAGGAACCAAGGTAAAGATGGTTAATATTTCTTTCTTCAGATTGTGAGAGATCTACCTTTAGAAACAATATTCAGAAATGAAGGTGACAAAAGGCTTTCAGAAAATGTAAGAGAATTTTTTACTAACAGACATTTCATAAGAATTTTTTATAAGGACTGACAGACAAAATGGAGTTCAGACACTGAACCATGCATATATGGACAGTGGATTTTTTTACAAAGGCGTCAAAGTCATTCAATGAAGAAATCTTTTGGCAAATGAACTATGTGTTTATACAGAAAATGAGCTTAAACTGTCACCTCACACAATACAAAAGTTTAGTGCAAAATTTAGATTATAAAAATGGATGATAGACCTAAAAAAGCTAAAAGGAATTCTAGAAAGAAACAGGAGAAATTGTTTACTGTCTTGGGATAGACAAAATTTTTTTTGTGACAGTAAGCATAACCAGGAAAGAAAATTTTAAGCTGGAACTTAATAAAATGGAAATTGTTCTTTAAAAGACACCAATAAGAATCAAAATGCTGTTCACAGATTGAGAAAATACTTGTGATACATGTGTCTTGCAAAGATTTATATCCAGAATTTATAAGTAATCCTTACAGTTCAGCAATGGAAAGGTAAATAGCTAAATAATCGGGTAATATTAGGCAAAAAAAAACTGAAGTAGATTACTTTATAAAAAGTAGAGTCACATCCTCGTCATAAGGAATACACAAAGACACACCGGTATAAACTGCAGTGGCTTTACACATAAGCAGTAACAACTGCTGTTAGTCTGTTTTCTGTTGCTTGTAACACAAAACCATAGGTTGGGTGAGTTAAGTTTATTTTGGGTCAATTCTGGATGTGCAAGGTTGGGTGGGTGCATTTGTTAATGAGTTTCTTCATTTGTTGAATTTCTTAAAGAATCTTACATGATGAGACATGGAGGCACCCAAGTGTATCTGATCTCTTTTTAAATGTTTTTTTATTTTTATTTTATGTGTATGAGTGTTTTGCCTGTATGTATGTAAATGCACCCATACGTTCAATGCCTGTGGAGGCCAGAAAGGGGAGTCAGATCCCTCAGAACTGGAGTTAGGGACAGTTGTTAGCTGCCATGTGGGTGCTGGGAATCAAACCAATATTCTGCAAGAGCAGCCAGTGCTCTTAATCACAGAGCCATCGCTCAAACCACTGTATCTGATCTCTTATGAGCAACCAGGCCCTTGGGGTGGTGGAACACCCTAATGACATTATCCAAAGCTACTTCCAAGCACTGTAGAAAAAATTTCTGTCCTCTTCATAAACCACAATAGGGATTAGACTGCCGTACATGAAGCCTATGGAAACATTCAGACCATGTACCAAGCATCTCAACTGCTGATACCAACTGTTGAAGACATGAAACAACTGGAATTCTTACAGGAATACAAAATAGTGCAGCCACTTTGGAAGACAGTTTAGCAATGTCTTATAAAATTGAATACAGATTTACCATAGGATTCCCTGAGTCTTATTCCTGGACATTTACCCAAGGGAAGTAAAAATAAAAGTCTATTCTATGATTCCTATATGAATACAGCAGTTTTGTTGTTTTTCTTATTTCCTCCAAACTGGGATGGACAAACCTGAGATGCACAGTAGATGAGATACACAAGCCAAATAAAGGACTACTTATTTTACTTACTGGATAATTGTATTTCTGATTTTTTAGAAAAGGTAGTTTTATAATGACAACTCAGTGAATACCTGTAACTGCGAAGTCAAAGTAGGAGAAGTGTCCTTTGGACACTAAGGTGTCCAAAGGATGTTTGGGGGTGATAAAAATCGTATATATCAACTAGTGGTGATTAATGGCTTTATATTCAGTTGTGATTCATTAAACTGCTTGAAATGGAAGAATTTTGCTATATTTGTGTTTATGCAAATTATACCAAAATAAGGTTTATAGCAGGAAAGTATTTTATCAAAGATTTAGAAAAGCAAGCTGAAATGATTCTATATTTGTAAAGTTATAAAAAGCTAATCTATATTCTCTCTAAACTTAGCTCCCATCTTTGTATAATTTCATTTAATATATCTTAGATGAAATACATCTCAAATGAAATGAATAAGATAATAGATAAAGTGTGTATGGCTAAAACAATACAGCCAATTATCACTTCCTCTTAATTTTAAGATACATCTCCAAAGACTTTGAAAGTGTGAGGACTGTGTAGTTACAGTCAGTGTGGATTTCTGCTTGTCAATTATACTTCAGTAAAGCTGGAAGTGGGGCAATGTGCAGTGCCCAGGTTATGGTCTTTGTTATTTCTCAATAAAAAATTCAGGTCTTTGGGATCAATTCCAAGTATCCAAGTGTGTGCAGAAAATAAGATTATCCTGAAAAATATTCTTGAATGAGAAAGACACCATCAACAATACCTAGACTCGTGTTCAAAGGACATGGGAACCAACTTGAAAGAACCGCATGAGATAAGATGGGCCAGTGTGAGCACCACTAAGAGTGGCTTTGTAGACTGCATCACTTCAAATTTTGACAAAGCGTTAGTTACTAACAACATTTTGGGGTAACTTGGGAAGTCTTGAGGACATCAACTAATGTTTTTATAAACAAAAATTGAGAGTAAAAGTTAAACATCTATGATGATTAATTTTGATTTTGGGAGACTAGAGAGATGGCTCAATGGTTAAGAGCATTGGCTGCTCTTACAGAGGACCCAGGTTTGGTTCCCATCATCCACAAGGTGGCTAACAATCATTTGAAACTCTAGTTCCAGCAGATCCAGCACCCTCTTCTTGGCCTCCATGGACATTGCATAACATGGGTGCACTTACATGTAGGCAAGCAAAGCACTTGTACACATAAAAAAATAGACTTAAAATTAACAAAAATATTGACTGAACGTGACAGGATCTAAGTTACAAAGGAAGCATGTGAAGGATTCTCTAGAGTAAGTGGAAAGACCAACCTTTACTGGGTAGCACCACTCCCTGGGCAAGGGTCCTGGACTGAATAAATGGAGAAAGTGAACCTAGCAGTAGCACTTACCACTGTCTGCTTCCTGACTACGGATACAGTGTGACCAGCTGCCTCAGACTCCTGCTGCCATGACTTCCTGGCCATGATGAACTGTACATCTTTAAACTGTGAGCCAAAAAAGTTCTTTCTCCCTTAAGTTGCTTTTGTCAGGAAATTTTTATCACAGCAGCAAGTATTCATCACACTTGCAGGAGCTTGAAGTCGCTGGTCATACTACACCCAGTAAAGAAGCAGCGAGTACCTGCACCCAGCTCACTTTGTTTTTCATTCAGTCGAGGACCCAAACTAAGGGAATGGTGTTGCCCACTTTTAGGATAGGTCTTCCCACCTCAGTTAACGTAATCAATGTAATCATTCACAGGCATCCCCAGAGGCTTGACTCCATGGTCATTCCAAATCCTATCAAATTGACAACACTGACACACATAGCAAATCCAAGATTTAGAAACTTAAAGCAGTATCTCTGTTACCCTCATCTGCTGGGGATTTGAGCTGGCTTGACAGAGCACTGATTTTTGTTTGTTTGGTTTTGCTTCATGTTGCATTGGCTTGGTGTTTGGTCTTTTGAAGACTTTTGTTAAGCTTTGTTAGGTTCTGTCTAGAGTACCATTAACTCTGGGGTTTAGTCTCTTTATTAAGAAATAGCATCTACTGGATGTTCTGATTGACCAAATAGGGCAAGACTATGCTAACTAGAGGGGACTCCGAAGAGAAAATAGAATTCCTGGATACTGTTCAGCTCAGTTGATTACTCTGCCTGACTTGATAGAGTCTTGTTATATACTTCAATTTTCAACATTTCAACTTGTATTTCCAATGAATAAGGATGCTATTCTATATAAGAAAATTAGTAATAATCACTGAAACCATAT